AAACCATTAATATCGAATGATGTAGATTGGACGCGCAAGCAAGTACCAGGCATTAGAACAATTTCTTCCTCATCTTGATTCACTGAGTATTCGGTAATATCTTTGCCATGAATCGTATTAATGCAAAACAGGGTACCCTTCTCACCTGAAAAACACGCCGCAGGATTGATTTGCGATGAACATGAATTCACACTCCACCAAGTGTGAACAATATTTGTGTCGAATTCTGAGCCAATAATGCCCCAAACACCTCGCCATACCGTAGTCGAACGCGATGGTAACTTTTGAAGAGCAGTAATAAACAGCTTTAAGTAGGCAAGCCATGGCTCCAAGGCTTGTGGATTTTCAGCTCGAAGTGCTTCATTGAGTTTGCGATAAAAAGATGTTGTTACCATTGTGTAAAGATAGATTGCTGCTGATTCATTTATTGTTAGTTGAGTATTTTTTCTGCAGCAATGTTTAGCTTTATCAACATCACTCTTGACGCAAGGAACGAATTCAACGATGCTTTCTACAGCTTCCTCTAATGACATAATTGGCACATCTTTGTATTCGGATAGTGGAGTGCGGTTGGTCTGTTGAATCTCTGATAGATGACGGTTCACAAAACGATCAGTCCTTGTGGAAATCATTTGTTGTGCCAGTAGATGACTGGTTTCCTATTATAAATAGTGTTAGTAAAACATCGCATTAGCTATACATCTACAGAGGTATCACCATTGCTTTTCACATTCAGTATAACACTATCAGTGATTTGAACCTAGATTCGTTGGACATTATGGCACTGCCCTTGAAATCGATTTTATACTAACTAATGCTTAACTATTTATTTTGGCAGGTTTAGAACGTCAAAAAGGCTGCGTAACAGTATCGTCCTACGCCTTTGGGATCAAACGTTAAATTTCGAATTGCATAAATAGTAAACACAGTCCACTGGTGACCGATCAATTCGTCGCACGACCATTCGTCGCGATCAATTCGTCGCAAAAACAATTTGTCGCACATGTATTGTAAAGAATACATTGATTGAATTAAGTAATTTAGTTTAAAATGTTATACAATTCATCGCTTTAATAAAAATTTTTCTTTAGACTCATACGAATCTTTTTTCAGAATACAATGGTTTTTTTCAAAAATAAAATAGAGATATCAATTTAAAGCCTATTTTAAAATTTAATGAAAAAAATTGAAGTTTGATTTTAAATAAAATTCTATGTACACAAAAAAAACCTGAAAGTTAAAATAAAAATATAAAATCGAAAAGAAATTTTACAAATCTAAATTAAAAAAAATTAAAGTTTGATTTTAAATAAAATTCTATGTTGACAAGTTAAAAATAAAGTTCTTTTTTGTCATTAAAATTTATGTTTTCAATAAATAAAAAGCTTTAATTTTTTTTAATTTAGATTTGTAAAATATTTTTCGAATTTTATATTTTTGTTTTAATTTTCAGCTTCTTTTTAAAGAAAATGTTAAATTTCAATTGAAAAAAATGAAATAAAAAATTAAGAACAGCTAAAATTTTGACATAATTCATAACACGTGATATTTCGGTATCTATTTGACAGATACCATCATAAGACAAAAAGAAAAAAACACCAGTAACAAAAACATACAACTACCATAATGTATCAGCACATTTAATAGATAAGTTAATTCATTGTTCATATATATAAACAATAAAATTAACTAATTGAGAATGTCCCTTTTCATTGCTGTATTAGTATCATTATAAAGGTGAAAATAAATGGACACTATGAATATAAATGTATAATTTTGTTGTTGGTGATTTTTTCTTTTCGTCTGGTGATGGTATCTGTGAAATAGATACCGAAATATCACGTGTTATGAATTATGTCAAAATTTTAGCTGTTTTTAATTTTTAATTTTATATCTTGTTTCTCTTATATGTCCATTTATTTTCATTTTCATAATGATACTAATACAGCAATAAAAATTGGATGTTTTCATTTAGTTAATCTTATTGTTTAATATTTTATATATATGATGAATGAATTAACTTATCTATTTAATGTGCTGATACATTATATTTTACATACACTATAAATATAGATGTATGAGTTTATTGTTGGTGGCTTTTCTTTTCGCCTGATGATGGTATTTGTGAGATAGATACCGAAATATCATGTGTTATAAATTATGTCAAAATTTTAGCTGTTCTGAAAAAAATGAACTTTATTTTTAATTTGTTTACATAGAATTTTATCTAAAATCAAACTTCATTTTTTTTTCATTAAACTTTAAAATAGGCTTTAAATTGATATCTGTATTTTATTTTTGAAAAAACCATTGTATTCTGAAAAAAGATTCGTATGAGTCTAAAGAAAAATTTTTATTAAAGCGATGAATTGTATAACATTTTAAACTAAATTACTTAATTCAATCAATGTATTCTTTACAATAAATGTGCGACGAATCGTACTAGTGCTAGTCCACTAGAACAGTAGGCAAGGGCTCGACTATCGAAATTTTTGTCATTGCAACAAACTCAGAGCGCGCATTTTCAACATCTTACCATTATCTTTCGAATAACCGAACTATGCCAGCTTGTAAACATTTCAAACTATATCAAGTCTTCTATGCTATACAATCGTTTTGTTATATTAATTTTTGGATTTTTGTGCAAAAATGTGACAGCTCAGATGCCATCCAAACTAGCAGTATTTTGATATAGCCTCGATCACGACGTGAAATCTTCGCATGATTTATTTTAGTGAGAATGGATCTTGTCTTGATAACTCTTCTAACACATATGAATCAGTGGATGCGTCCGAAGCAAGTTTGCATAGACTACAGTTAGTATGGAACAAAGTAGTAAAGATCAACCCCCTTCGTTTGAAACCATCTATTTTTACTGACATTCAAAGTCTGCCAGAGACTTCAAATTGAGCATATAAAATTGATTGAGTAGAGTTTCTTAGAATTTTATCGAGCATATCTTGCTGTGTTGAGTGAGTGTCCCATTGATTTATGTTGGTCTAGAAAATGGTTCGTAAATATTTTCACGCTTAGGTCGGATCAAAATAACGAACTTTAAAGAGTTCAAAAAACACAATGTGAAGTATGCAACGATTAAGTTTTTATGTAAGACCTACATTTTCATGAGTTTGTGTTTGTCTATGGTATCGGACTACATTTTCTCCCATCACATAAGATTCTATGAAGCTGTCCTAGTTTCAAACTAACTCAATCACTTATAGCTCAAATTTCAGCAGAAGAACTTTTCTGTATGTGTATGAATATTTTTATGAGTTCATACAACGTTATAGTTCCTCATTGAAGAGAGTAGTTATACTTTAAGAAGTATTTTTCAAGGTTTTTCGTACGATGGATAAATCTGAAAGTGTCTCGATCGACGAGCAAAATGTTAGCTTCGCTTGGAGAAGGATGAAGACGTTCAAACTTTTTATGATGATGATATGTAAGAGTCATTCTGTACTTTACAAGGCTTTTAAAAAAGTCGGTTTATTACCGAACTGAAATAAGGTTTACCAAACTGCTAAACCAAAAAGGAATCTTCTCTCAAGCATTTGGAAAGAACCTTCACTTCGAAACGTTTTTATAGGCTTCGTAGGTAAGTAAAGCGTTTGGTACAGCAATTACAAAATTTCATAGGTTTAACAAAACACCTTGAAATTTTGATACAGGCCTCCCGAAATTTTAAAAAAACCCAGAAAGTTTTATAGCTTTGCTACAAAATCTAACAATGGTTCCATAGTAAAGATTCTTCCCATGCGCCCAGCGGAAGATTCTTTTTTGAGTTAGCAGCTTGCTAAACCTTTTGTTAAGTTTAGTAATAAACCGATTTTTTTTAAAGTGAACTGACTCTGGTTGAGACCCAATATTCTTCCTCATCAAGATGTATTGAGGGTATTAGGAATCACTATCAAAGCAGTCTGACTGAACTAAATACAATCTGTATTTACAAGGATCCACTGTAACTCAATATGTGGTTAGCGTCGCAACAATTCGAAGAAATACTTATTGCACTCTCTTACTACCGCTAACTATCATTCATTTTTCTGTAATCAAATGTAAGTCTACCTAATGATTTGATTTTCAGTTCATTCAAATTTCTATCCGAAATTCACTTGTTTTTGATCACACAAAACACATCAATCTGGAGAATTCGCGCTTGGGTCACAAAAATTAATTTTAGTGGAAAAGTCTGAATGAGTCGAAAGCCAATTCATTATAATGCAACTTGTGTACGATAACAGAAAAAATGTTGACAGTAGGCGCGTGCGATAGACGGTATCTTCGTACTTTTTGGGATGCCATTTGTGTGTTGCGTAGTATCAATGCAGATTTTCAAACTTATCAGGTTGACTAGTTCACGGTAAAACGGCGCAGAAGGTGTGTGGTGGTATATTTTGCTAACATTCATGTATACAAGATGTCCAAACAATAGAAAAAGGCCTTGTCAGTTGACAATCTCACTGCGAGAATAGCATCTGTTATATAAATCTTTGTGATAATAATACTTACGGGTCGTACGATCGAATAAATCAAGTAAGTAGTAAGAGCCAACGATCGATATATGATCAAAACAATCAAAGTCGGTAATTGTTAATTATCTGAAGGAGAAGCCAAACAAGTCAATCATAATCTTGGTTAAGGGTTTAAGTCTGGATGTATGAAAAAAAGAACAAAAACCACTCTAAAACTATCGCCTTCATTGTAAGAGTAACGAGATATACAGTATTTATAGGTATGTAGAGCAAAGCAAGCTCTATATATTGATATATGAATCAATTTGAATAGCGGAAACATATCAAGAGAAAAATTCACAAAAAGTGATAGGCTAATGTTTTACACTTTTGTAGATATTTTTAGGGAATATCTCAAGTCAACCCATTCTAGCAGAACAGAAGTAGATCGTTAAAGCATCACAATTTGGATTATTCTATGATATAAAACCTTAGCTTCCTATGAGATTCCATTTAAAACCTGTTTCGCGACATGATTGCACCAATCCTGATGCTTTCATTGAACCTCTCTTGAATATAGACTGTCTCTTTCACTTTATTTCTGGTTCCGTGGGAATGGAAACAAAAAATATTGTCCAATATATGTGTTTGTTACTCAATACATCAGTTTACCTTCATTTTAATGGTCGTAATACTTATGTCTGTTTCTGATTTATCTAAATCTTCATTTTTGAGTAGTGCTACAATATAAAGAGTAGAGTGCTATGGAATAGACAAACAAACACTGCAGTTGTTTATCCAATTTTCTATTGACTACATCGATGAATTCGATCATCAATATTTTGCTTTCTGCAAATGTGTATATTAATCATCTTTTGCATTAGAGTGAAGAAAAAATCTAATGATATTGATAGTCTACTCACGCTTGAATTCGACCTTCAATTTTTGAGGATAACTTGTGTTTGTTAAATAATCGAGTGTATTACAAATGAATGACTGTTTGAAAATTGTTGGGTTTTTTCCAAGCAACGCTTTTTTTCAAGTGTTGTTTTTTCTTCGTGATGCTGATTACCTACGCTGTTTATTTTCAGTTCTCCTCTGTACTATGGATTCCACATGGTGAGAAAGGGCCTGCTTCAGGTACGAAACAAAATTACAACAGAGAAGAAAGAAAAAAACGGTGACAAAGTAACAACAGTGCTAATGATTAAGATTATTCAAATGATCAGGATTTTTTGAAATTTTTATAAACCATCGAGTCAACTGCGAGATAAATTTGTCTAAAATATTGAGTCTTTAAAAAAGCTCATGCATTGAGTACTCTACACTGTACACAATTTTTAATATAATACTATGTATTTCTTCAATTTATTTAAGTTACATCTTTCCTTCTTAAACAAACAAAAAAAATGAAGGCAGCTGATGGGGACGAGACTGTGTGTAGTGCAATGAATAATATTAACTCATTTCAACTGAAAAAAGAATACGGCAACTTCACTGCTCTAAAAATCAACGAAAAAACAAGGTGTACGATTTGAATGTGCGCAAATCGATCGAAAACAGATAAACTCAATTCTTGATCAAAACAGCAATATCAGTCTGTTAGTTTCTCATGGAATGAAATACTCCAGAATAAGGGCAGGCGCTACAATTGCGAATATTTCCTTCTCAACTACATTCAACCTTACTAAGATTTACTCGGATTTGGATAGATTCAAGTTTCAGAGGTTTTTGTGTACTGAGTTTGGATGCAAGTTTAAATATGAGTGAGGTTGAGGATTAGAACCAGTTAGATCCAGAACTTTTGAGTTTGAACTTGCAAGCATTTTGTTGAACGTCTAACACATCTTGCTCCTAGTCGGACTTGATTCAATATCTTGCTTGAAAGTTGAAGTTGGGTCCGAACTCGATCCGTAGTCATAACATTCTCAATGAAACAGTCTAATCTGTCTGAATAATCGTTCCACAGATACAAGATACTTCTTTTGCTTATTTAGATTCTGCAATCAACACGCTCTATAGGATGTGAGATGTTGGTGGGCGAGTGTGGATGTACTGGTGTTCTTTGTCAATCCACCCATACCCATACCCTGAGCGAGACATTTTTTACATATCTCCTACCCCAATTATATGTCTAGTATAAACGTTTTAAAGCAATTCTTTTTCGAGGATATGTTCTTTGTTTGAGTTATATATCAATTGATCGAGAATGAAATTCTGAGTCAGGATAATCACTTCCAATCGACCGGCAACGGTTTAGTTATACGGACAGGATGTTTTTTCATATGCCCTTAGAGTAGTATGTGTGCGTTATGAACGGTTCAATGGAAGTTATTTTTCGAAAACGAATTGTCTTTTCGACACATATCTGACAAGGTGGAGAATTTATTTTTCAGTCACAGTAATCAACTGCGAGCAACCAGGAACGATTTAGTTGATCAGTGAAAGTTTTTTTTCGCAAATGAGCGGTGAAAAAAGTGTTATTAGTCTATTCGGTCATTGTTCGAGGAGATAGTTTTTATGGGGGTATGTTGTGATTTTGTTATGGAATGGTAACTAAGGAGGTTCGTATGGTAAAGTATGGGTGTGGATGTGGTTGAGTATTGGTGTGAATAGGTATGAGTAGAGGCATTTTTTCTCCACCCACACCTCCACACCACCATCCACCCACACTCATGCCCCACACCCTTATGGAAGCTTAGATTCTATCAACACTCGTACCAACGAAATTCAATGGGCATCTTTAGCCGGAGATCTAGGAATATTAATTATTGTGTGCAGACTTCAGCGGTTGAAGGAAATATTAGATTAGACAGTGAATGAGGGTATGGCAGATGATGACGTTGGTTGAGGATCTCTTTAGATGTTTATATCGTTGAATATAGCTAAGTAGAATTTTAGATGAAAGCATTGATAATACTTTCTGCTACATTGCATGACTGTGCGTGCTATCTTCAAGAATCTAGCGCATATCTTCAAATGCATAAATGTTGGGCAGCAGCTTTTGTAAGCACTTGTGTACTAGATGTCATGGTCACTTTATCTGCAGTAACGGGGCAGAATCTATGAATTATGAGTCAAACGATAATGTTCGTCGGGGTGTGGGTGTGGGTGTGAATGAACAGAAAGAAAATACACCCACACCCAAACGTACCCACATCCGCACCCACCCACACCCCACTTCACACCCAACCCACCCACACCCACACCCCACCTCACACCCACCCCACCCACACCCACACCCTTTTTTTTTATCGGTATAATCAACAAGAAAAAAAATTAACCAAAATGACACCGATTACTTCTTGTCGGGTTAAAGATGTTATTGCACTAATATCATTAACCCTAGTACGCCTAACATGGGTCATTTCTGACCCAGACATAA